GACCAGATGGACAGGCTCATTAGAAGAAGGAACTAAAGTGTCTACTGCGGTGTTGTAATTTTAAAATAAAATAAATTAAACTGAAATTATCTCAAGATGACTAAATACTCTACCAACCTTGAAACACTGTTGGTTGCGCTGGCTTACTTGTTAGCACATATCCCTAATTGTCCTTGGGGCCAAAAAGCTACCATGGCAAGGAAAACGGAGAAACATAAGGAGCTCTGGTCTACGATGACAGCAGGACAGGTATGCGAACAACCACTGAACAATACCCATAGCAATCAGGTAGTATAGTATATTGCAAGCAGTTTGATAACCCATTGCAGTAGTACGTTTTTGGACTGAGAATATCACATATGATTGAATCTGAATATGGATTTTTGTGTTGAGAGAGGCACCAGCAGATACAGAGGAGTGGACACAGTGAGAGCAGCCAAGTACCTTTCTGAGAGGACTGATGGGGAAGAAAAGACAACTTTTAAAATTAGTTTGTTCCTTTTGAAGAACAAAGGAACTAAGAGAGTCAGGTAGGTACTCTTGAGAACAGAGATCCATAGCTAAACACCGTACCCAACTCTATAACAATGTGAATTTCTCCAGAAGTCACACTTCTGTCTCATTTGCTTCAAAAAGCTCATATCTAAAGTTTGGAAGAGAACACTGTAGCCACAGCCCCAAGTGTTGTATGATATCCTGATCTGATTCTCTCCTCCACTGTTCTTTCTCTTCATCTTGACTCTGTTACTGTTTTATTATATTACATGCTTTTTGGAAAGCTACTTCAAATATTCTGTTCAAGAAGGATTTGAATGACAAAATCAATAATTCATAGATAACTGGTCTACGAAAGCACACACCGTGTTTAGAGTGTGTGCTGTATGGGGTCCATTGATGTAAAGCACGCAATCACACAAAACCCATGTGGACCAATCTGGGGTACATACACAGGGCTGGCTAAAATATAAAGAAAAGCTAAGATGTAAATGTCATGAAATGAAAATGCTGGCTGTCTCCAGATAGGAGTGAGCTGTAGGCATGAGAAGGAGGCAATGTCTTCATGTTCCTCCTCTTTAGCTGGGTATAAATCAAAGGGCATTTCTTTCCTGATAATTTACTAAGCTGCATATTTACATTTTATAGACATGGTTTTGTATTCTTTTCTTTGCACTATGCTTCAAAAGGATTAAAATTATATATATACTATATATATGTATATATATATAATCTTAAAAGTTATACATATAATGACAATTGATGAAAACAAAAGCAAGTCAGTCATTGCTAAATAATGAAATAAATCCCCCTAGGATTTCTACAAGCTAAAAAAAGATAATAGAGGGGTATTAGTGGAAGAAACACTGTCCATATTCTAGGCAGTAAGGACACTATAGGGATGGCCATAACAGCAGGCCATTTTAGCATCAGACACTACCACAACCATGACGTCATGAAAAGAGAGAGTGTATAAACACTATTTTAAACATTTTGTCAAAAGATTTCCTGGGAGCATGGGGACCATGGGAAACGGTTGAAGGGGAGGGGAGAGACAGGGAGGGGAGCAGAGAAAAATGTAGATTCAATAAAATCAATTAAAAAATTGTCTAAATCTTTATTGAAAATAGATTTTTTTTTCATTCAAAATATGTTGATTATGGTTTACCCTCCCCTAACTCCTTCTAGGTCCTCCTTACTTCCCAAACCCACCCAAATCCATTTTTGAAAAGTTCATCCCACAGAGTTTTACGATGTGCCAGAAGTATAGGCACCAGCGTAGCAGGTAGGGTAGTGGACACAGAGTACAAGGTCCTTTCATTCCCCCCATGAAGTTGACATTCTGCAGGGACAGGTAGAAGAGTACCAGACAGATAGGAACAAGCACTGTACAGGGGCATCTGAGTGTGAGTCCTCCAGAAAGGAAAAGTTGGGAATATCTAAACAAACCAACCAACCAACCAACAATAACAAAAAACTTCAGGGGTCAGGGGCACAATTCATGAGAAGATGGATGCTTGAAGGGACGGAGGAAAGCTATGCTATTCACAAGCTTTGAGGGCTTGAATTCTGAATATGATGACTTGTAGCGGGGAACTTGTCCCCATCTTTTACATATGAACATATGGACTGAAATTTGTTTACCCTCCCCCGAGTTGGCTGAGAAGCACATAGTCTTCTCAGAGAGTGGAAGGACATTTTCTTTGCTCACCTGAAATCCACTTGTCACTACACAGATACAACTTGGTGTGACAGGATCTGGGTGTAATCATGTGTGTGAGAAGCAAAAGGCAAATTCATATAGTATTCAAGTCACTATAAATTTAGAATTTATAATCTGCTAAGTCTCAGGCATAAGTATATAGTCTTGTGACATCTAAGAGAGCTATATCTATAACTTCTCATGGCCAAACATGGCATAAAAATTTTGTATTTAATTTTCTTTTGTATTTTTAAGATGTAGAAGAGCACATAGAAAACGTGTCTAAAATGTGTCATGATGTAAGAAATGCTCTTGTACATTGTAAATATTGTTACACATATTGGTTTAATAAAGCACTGATTGGCCAATAGCCAGTTAAGAAGTATAGGTGGGGCAAACAGACAAGGAGAATTCTGAGAAGAGGAAAGGCAGAGATGCAGTTGCCAACCAAAAGCAGAGGAAGCAAGGTGTGTATACCTTACTGAGAAAAGGTACCAAGTCGTGTGACTAAACATAGATACAAATTATGGGTTAATTTCAGTTGTAAGAGCTAGTTAATAATAAGCCTTAGCTAAGAGACCAAACAGTTTATAATTAATAAAAGCCTCTGTGTTTTTCTTTAGGACTGAATGGCTGTGGGACTGGGTGGGCACAGAAATTTCCATCTACAGTGTCAAGTTCACATGAAAGTAACTTCACAGTTGCTAATGAAGACTGTTTTGAAAGATTGAAGTTTCTATTGCAAATTAAAGGATGCTAACACTGCTTAGAGGAAGACAGAAAACAAGTCCCTTATACTTGATGTTACATGTAATTAGAGAACTATGAAATCTAAGTTTGACTTCAGGGAACAGAGCAAACTTTAACTCAACTTCTTTCTCATATAACTAAAGATCCAAGAGCTTTACAAAATTCATCTCTTTCTCCCAAATATGAGAAAGTCATTTGATTCTGAAGACAGAACCCGGACCTCTGAGGCATCTCTTCAAGGACAGGTTAGCTGGTTCACCATCCTTTAGCTCCCTCTGTATGGACATGTTCCACCTCATCTCCATATACATGCACACAGGCAGCACACACATGCACCATGGCCACAAAGTTCTACTAAACATTCTGAAGGGACAACCAGAAGAGACAAATAGTCCCTTCTAGTTCTCCAAATCTGAGCATCATCATTGTCATCGTTAGCAGTCGCAGCAGCATAAACAAGCTACATCATTGTGTATTGCAGTTCCGTGTTATTTTGCTGCTTGTAAAACCTCATGAAGATGAGTTGTGCTACGTCTTCCCACTAAATAATGTGTGTACTGGACTTTTAAAACAACTGCTCAGTCTCTAAGATACTCAAACAACATGCTCTCTAGTGCTTGTCTGAACACAATAGAATTGCCACACAGCTTTCCCTGAGCTGAGATTCTTGATTGTTTTTATCTTGTCTGCCTTACTACAAAGAAAAAACCCACTTTCTTGGGTTAGCTGAAGGTACCATTACAAGGACAGCATTGGTACAGACATCCATCGTCACCACAATATTTATGACCAGTTTCCAGGGGCCATTAGTTCTAGAACTTTTAGAGGAATGGGTGTAACTCCTGGACTTTCCCCCTCTAAATTATAGTATAAAGTGAGGCAGAAAAAGAAAGTCCTTGGAAGCGTTGAGCCAGCCTGTCCTCATCTGTCCTGTTTTCTGTTCCGTCAGACTGTCTCCTGACTGACTGCTGTAGAAAACATTTTGAGGATAATTTGTGCCTACTAGGTCTAAAGTGAATTGCAGAAAGAAAAGAAAGCTTTATACAAAAACAAAAATATTTTTGCAAGTCCCATATGCAAAAGTAACTGAATGGCCTGGGCTCATTTTGAAGAGCCAAGGTTGATGGACACGTTCTAATGTGAGGACCAGTATTGGTAGCAGTGGGCTCAAGCAATGGAGAAGAGTAGTATATGGTAATTCCCCAGCGTCGGTAGGAGGCTGAGTTCAGGATTCACATGGACACAAAAGTCTGTGGGTCCCTCTAGACTCATGTGGATAATGTAGTGTTTGTTTGCATCATGTCAAATCCTCAGATGTATTTCATACACCATACTTTGTAATACTTAATACCACAATACTTAATAACCCCTTGCATTACTTAGGAATACAATAGAGAAATGTCAATTGTTATGGTGATTTTTTTGTCGAATAACAATGAGAGATGCTTTTACTATGGTTGATACAAACAGTTTAAAGTGATTTGTTTTTCGGGTTGGTTGAGTTCATGAGATGGAGACCATGGATACAGAGGGTTCACTGGGACAGTACCACACAGCAGTGTCCCATGTTAAAAACAGATGTGAAAGATGAGCTGGAGGACCATGTATCATGTCATCGAAACAAAAGTTGGATGTTTTGCCTTGCAGGCAGGATTCTGTGTGGTAAGCATGCATAAGTATTGGGGATACTCCATGGCCACAGGAACAGGGAATTCTGATCCACACTCACACTGTCCTAGGCAGGAAGCTCCTTTGGAAGCTATTAACAGCCAGAGGAGGGGCTCTCTCTCCAACTAGGATACAGCAGCCCCATTTAACATTCTCATCTAGTGAAACAGCACAGACCCTTGTGCCTGTTTCTAACTGCACATTTTTAATATTCAATATAATGCTACTCTTTAACAAACTCTTTACTCCCTGCCTCTCTGATGGAGCTTCCCGGGGTCTTTAAAGGGATTGTTAACCCAAGAATGGATCGCACTATTTCTGCATGAACAGGCCCAGAACCAGCCCATTAAGCCTCCCGTCTTGACTCTGGCAGCGCCAGCCTCACCTCTGAGGAGATGCGCCAGCTGCTGGGTGATGAGCTCGGGGGCCTCGTGCAGGAGCTCCTTCAGCACCAGCGAGGAGGAAGACTCCGGGAACCCCAGCTCGGCATCGCTCTGCTCACCGGGGTTAATGACTCTGACAACTGCGGCTTCCAAACTTCTGTCCTCGCTGTAAATTAAACGGAGAGGAAAGGAAAGAGATAAGGCATGTTTTCTCACGTGGGGGATAATTCAGTCTCTACTTAAACATGAATAATAATTTCCTCTAAATGGCCCCAAACATAAATTCTCATGACTGTGAAGAATAGGTCCTGGAGAGTGGGCTAAGACACCTGCAGAGCAAGCGTCAGGACCTGAGTTCAGAGCTCCAGTACCCATGGAAATGCCTGACCATAACTCCTTGCTGTGGTCACACCAGGACCACAAGTGGGTGGGTGAACAGGGAGCAGCTGAGACTTGCTGGTCAGGTGGTCTAGCCAATCAGAGAGCACCCGTTTCAGTGATTGGCCTTCCCTCAGAAGATGAGGTAGGGAGGAAGACTTCTGACATGGATATCTGGCCTGTATGAATTTGCGGTCCTTGGCATGGGTGCTGGTGCACACACTCACACACACACATCATCCCATACACACATACACACACATAGTCATACACACTCATACACTCATGCATATACACATGCACACACACAATCATACACACACTCTCACACACACAAACATACGAAACACTCATGTACACACACAATCACTGACACACACTCAGACACAGCCATACATACACACACAATCACTCACACACAGAGATACACACAGATTCACAATCACACACACTCTCTCATACAAACTCTCTCACACAAACACACACACACACACGTGCGCGTGCGTGCATGCGTGCAGCAGAGGGGTAAACAGGATCTTATTCTTGTGTCTCCTCACGTGCTGTTTCCCTTCATCCCTGTCCCCAGGATTCCTAGAGTATTTCATATGTTCACAGAAGCTATGATTCAGAAACACTGTAGCTGTGTTCAGACCCTATGAGATGGGTTCTAGTAAGATCTTTCTTTTATAAATGGGGAAACTGAGGCACAGTGGGGCTACGGACAGTGTTCATGGTCAGGTGACCAGAGTGTGGAGCAGGTGGCTTTTAACTTACTAGTACCTGCTCAGAACAGTCACCGAAGCTCAGAAGAAAAAAAAAACAAAACAAAACACCACTATGCCTGTGATGGCGTCACCATGACTTTTAAAAACTCAAACTTTTAATTAGCTAATTAATACTTTTTAATTTTTGGAGTGCTGAAGATCAACCTCAGGGCCTTTGCATGCTAGGCAAGTGTTCTGTCACTGGCCCATCCCCTACCCCTCACCTACTTCATACATGTGATAGAGGTGAGTTTTCTCAAAGCAGACGGATAACAGATAAAACTACAGTTTTTTTTTTTTTGACTCTTCAAAAACAAACGAGCAACAGTGAAGAAAGTTAGCTTTTTACTTTTGTGGAATATTCCGTTTCATAAACAACCGCAAGCCCAGAGCTTATAACCTCAGTCAAAGACAAGCCTAACGTTTTCCAAGTTAAGGGGTGACAAAGCTCTCCCCCAATCTGTGTTGTCGTGTTCTCTTTGCTCGTGCCTGGTACATGTGTTGCCTTGAAAAAGTTGGCCATGACTTTAGCCCAGTGTGTGAAAACTAGGAGCACCCAGGCTGTCTGTGGTTTGGGGACTAAGTTTCCTGCAAGGTTCACATGTGCAGGAAGGATGGCGTCCCTGGTGGAAACACTGGATGATGCTGAGGGCTTTTAGAGGCGAGGCCTGGCTCAATCCTTAAACCACTGGAGACGAGACTGGGTGATTCTGGTTTTTAGCTTCTGCCTTGATCCAAGGTGTGGCTGTTTCGTTCTTCTTGCTGTTGATGTACCGTCCTCACCAAAGCCCCCTCTGGTGACCTGAGCTGAGAGTTGACACTCCAGGGCCATGAGAAAGATAAACCTCTTCTGACTGTCTAGGTGGCTGTGTCAGGTACATCATTATTGTGATGGGAAGCTGGAAAATACAACTGACAGCTGAAGGCAGTCCAAACGCTCACCCAAAACTTCCAGCCTCTTCTCAACAGATGCTTGACAAATATTATTCAGAAGAATGTCATTTGCCTCAAACAGCATAGGGATGAAAGTAGACCATAGACTGTTTTCTAAACACTTTATAACATTTGTATAACTGATGCTGCCTCGGTATACTTTAATTCATATGCAAGTATGTGTCCTAAAAACTGGTTACATTTAAAAATTATTAAATATGAAGGTCTTATTTCAAGTATTCTAAGGTCAAGGTTGGTTAGTGATGGTCATGAAAAATAGGTAAATGGTCAAAGGGTAAAGAAGGAGCACTTCAAACTCTAGGGTTAGCTGATGCCCTTCAGTCAACAGAGTGGCTCACAGAGGCCTCTCTGCAGCCACCTGTAGGGAGGGACTCTGCTTACTCCTGAAAGCACACAGAGAAACCAGGTTCTCATCTGAGCTCCCCACTGAGTGTACATGGCTCCTCAGGCAAAGCCATCAATGACACCGGGCTCTGCATTTCCCGTCTGTGGCATGGGGTGACTGAACGACTTGAGTTGTCAACAGCCTGTCCTTCTTTTACCATAAAAATGGAAAACCAGCAACACGTGGCCCATTTCCCAGCTTCTCCCCTTTCTCTATGAGATTTCTGTAGAACCTTTCTGCTTTATCTGGTTTCAATTTTTGTTACTTATTTTTAACGTCAATACATGGGATTATTGGGACACTGTAAGGAAATATTATTTTGGTAAATTTTACAAGAGCATTCTACTTAAACATGTTTGCAATCTCAAAGTAAAAATGAAGAACTGACATAAACCAAATTTTGTTATTAAAGAAAAAATCACTCTTTCCCATAAAGCCCCTTCCTTTCTTTCTTTTTCTCTCTTTTAAACAACAATAAGGAGACATTAATAATGGTGACAGCTGAGAGGAAACCTGCACTCGGGACAAATGTGCAGAGCTTCCCAGTGAGTCTTACCTCCCCAGGGCGTTGCTGCCCACGAGCGTTATTGACAGCTTTCCTTCATCGTTCAGCTCATGCAGGTTAATTTCATCACGGAATATGTGGAATGATTCAGAGATGTTCAGCTCTTCTAAAATGAACCTCGTCTCTGTGAAGTAGCTGAATTCGGTCCTTGGGATGTTCAGCACTGGCAAGCAGAGGACCCCGGGTGGACTGACCTACCGAAGGAGAAGCTAATTCAACCACCGGAAACAGCCATTTCTCCTCCAGCGCGAAGCAAAAGGCGAAAGGGAGCCGAAGTCTTTGGGCCATAACTAAGCCATGTGACATTCAAAACGAATCTCCCTGAGCCCAATCACAGAGCACTTCCCACTAGTAAGTAGGCCCTGGTGTTATATTTCTAAATTAACATTACGCTATTTACTTCTCTCTGTGTGTGCGTGTGCGCGCACGCCACAGCACGCATGTGGAGGTCAGAGGGTAACTCGCACGTGCCGGTTCTCCCCTCGCACCACGTAGGTCCTGGGAAAGGTGATCAGGTCTGGCAGCAAGGATGTTTATCTGTTGAACCATTTCACCAGCACAGCCAGGATGAATTGACAAAATAATTAATTGGGGACAGACTCAGGTGACACAAGAAGGCAGATCTGTCCCTATCGAATTAGATTGCAACCTGGTTTTAATCAACTGTTCAAGTCTGCTACAGTTAAATCTTCTGCTTCCTCGGGGTCATCAGGAAAACTCTGTGCTTACATATGGTTTGTGACATTCAGTTATGACATTTAAAAAATTTATTTATTTTTATTTTACATACATTGGTGTTTTGCCTGCATGTATGTCTATGTGAGGACGCTGGATTCCCTGGAACGGGAGTTGTGAGCTGCCATGTAGGTGCTGGAAGTTGAATCCAGGTCTTCTGATGAGCAGCCAGTGCTCTTAACTGCTGAGTCACCTCTCCAGTCCTGACTGTGACATTTTTAAAATGCAAAACACTTGGGAGTCAGGTTTAGCACACATACTAATAGGTTATAATCTCTACTGAACTCATACATTGTATTATTTTATATATTATATATTGTTATATACAAAGACTTATGTTCATAAAACTCTTACATAAAATATTTGCGGTGACCATATGGGGAGAAAAAGAAAGAGAATTTCAGATTCACAATAAATTTATTCATCTATATGAATTTTAAAGTAAAGTATTTTAAAAATTACTTTAAGGGCTTGGTGACACTTTATTTCTGAATAATTAATAGCCTTTATTCTCGAGTCCCCATGGCTCCGTCACAAGCATGTGTTTATTACACAGTTCAACACCCCAGTGTCTGTCTCCCCTTTAAACATTAAAGAGGCAGGGTTGTTTTGTTCTACTGTGTATTCCAAAACATAAAACAATCAGGCAGCAGTAGACATTTAACAAATATTTCCTGAATTAAATAAGTGAACCAGACGCTGCTGTTGTACACAAAACACAAAATCTTCTCCACTGAATGGATTTTCCTTGCTCTGTAATGCTAATACTGAATGCCACTTGCATAACCATCACTAGTGACTGGTGTAGAGCACATTACTCTTCCTAACTGACCGTTGTATCGAACTCCTGCCAACGCAGTCGAGGAGAATACACGAATCAGAGTGTGTGTCCCAAGCTGTCCATGCAGGACTTATTCTGCAGGTGGGACCAGCAACTAGATGCCAGCCACAGCCCCTGCTTGATGAATTGGAGAAAGCCACTCTCCTTTCTGAGCCTTCACTTTCTGTTTCTGTCACACGGTATCGGCCTATGTTCTCCTCACCAGAGCATGCGAAGCCACAGAGCCCTGAGAGACTGAGTATAGTTCTCAGGAAAACTCTATAGAGGCACAGTCCGCAGACAGCAGGCAAGACCTGCCACGCTAAGACAACAGCACCGTATCTTAGTTGGGTTTTCTATTGCTGTGATAAAACAGAATAGCTGAAAGCAACTTGGGGAGGAAAGGGTTTATTTCATCTTACAGATTGTAGTTCATCATCCAGGATTCAGGGCAGGAGCTGATGCAGAAGCCCTGGAGGAGTGCTGCTTACTGGCTTCCTCCACCTGCTTTCTTATACGGCACAGGACAACCTGCCCAGAGGCCACACTGCTCTGCCCTATGAGCCCAGCCTTCCCCCATCTATCATTAAACAAGAAAATCCCCTGTAGACTTGCTGACAGGCAATCTGAAGAGAGGCATTTTCTCAGTGGACGCTCCTCTCCCCAGCTAACTGTAGCTTATATCAAGTTGACAAAAACCAACCAAACAACAAACAAACAAACAAAAAACCAACCAAGACACATGAAAACAACAAGGTCCCCAGAATGTGACTTTAGTAAAGTCACATTTGTTTCTAGGCTTAGTTAAAAGTCTCCAAAGGAAGGGAGGGTCTATCAGTCTGTTTTCCTTTATCTATCTACCGACCGATCATCTATCTTTTATCACTCACAATTTTTCTACCTCCTTTTCGCATGATGCATCCTCATGCACGACCCTACAACTATAGTTGGTGATGTTATTATTATTATACACCCTCTTTAAACTGCACATCGCTGGTGGTCTTAGAGTCAATCCAGCTCCGTCACCTGGATGAGCAGTGGCGAACAAGGGTTGTTTAATACCCACATCTCAACTGAGACACATTCGTCTTCTCAGGCCAATTGCTCTTCCTTGTAAACTTCAACAACTTGTAAGACACATTTGCTGCAGAGCCCACATGTAGAGATGAGACTACGTTACCCATCATTTTCCCCAGCTGCCCTAAAGCAGTGCCGGCCACCCACGGCTCATTCTGGAAGACTAGGTTTTACGTGAATTTAAATCGCTCCAGATCAGCTATGCATAGTGTCAGGGGATCCAGATCCAAACAAAATCGAAATAAAATAAACCAGACTCTGGAAAATTAAAAATTCCGTGAACCTTCTGGAAATAGTACCCAAACATTCAGAACATATATCTGAGGGGTTTCAGGCAATAAATCCCATTATGATGGGCTGACGGAGTTTAGAGATGGGAAGTGGATGAGTCTGTTTCACAGAGCCAAGAGATTCTCCCTCAAGGGACATCTTCATCAGGGCTAACAGGCAACAACTAAGACTTCCAGAACCTAGACTGAGCATGTCATACCCTGTTTCTGGTCTCTGGCTTCATGTACTGCCCATATGTGTTGTTCTGAATGTTTTTTTTTTATTCCCAAAGGCACAGTTACATAGTGCATGATAAAGGAAAGAAAGAGGCCCCGAATCCTGCTTTTTATTGTTTCTCTAAATTCTCATAAAAGCAACCAGCTACTATGCTGTTTGAAATGCTTTTGAGAAGAAAACAGTAAGACACAAGCAGAATAATGTTTAACATACAGGAGATGCTCAATAAATGCCTGTTGCTTGCTGGATTTTTAATATTTTTTATCTATAATATACGTGAACATGAGAAACTAAGTTAGTGACTCTTTTTCCCATATTTATTCTTAAAAGACACATAATTCAGGTACAAAGGATATAATAATCCCTTTCTCCTCACCTTGTCCAGAAAGTATGCATATGTGAAGGCAGAAATGAGAGAATCTAAGTCACATGACTTAGGTCCAATAACGGCATGGACTTTCTCCAACTGTTTACTTCGATCCTGCAACCAATAAAAAGAAAAATCACAATTTTACTTGCTTCCAACCAATATAAAGTGGAAAATCTTCAGTGTTTTTTGAAAAAGTATGGTTGTCTATACTCATAAACAATGGCAGAAAATAATATATTTATCACAAAATTATATAAAAACTATGTATTATGTTAACATGTTCAAGAAAAAAATAATTTACCTCTATTAAGGCTACCTATGGGGTCTCCAACCATTCTGGGAGACCCATCTGCACATATAGGTTTATACACACACATATGCAATACACACATACACCAAAACATGACCGTCTACAGATTAACTTCCTTTGAACTCTTTCTCTGAGCACTACTTTCTCAGTAAGAGACCATGTTGCTGTGAAGGCTGGTGGCCCCGAGTGCTATGAATGTCTCCCCATATAAGACATGCTTCTTAGTTTAAGAAACAATGTAACTTTTTCTCATATCTCTCCCAGGCCAGGTAGTCAAACAGATATTTGGAAAGGCTTGATTTTTTTTTTTTTGCATTCTGTCTTGGATGCCAAAAATATTCTATCTATATTGTCCTAGCTTTTGGTAAATGAAAGCTTTTTCTCATTCAGAAAGAGGAATGTGATTTCCATCATTGGTCTAAAAGTCCAAATTCCATTGCTTCTTTCAAAGTGTATATATTCACCTCTCTAGAAAAGAACACATACTTTTCTGTCATTTGTTTGTTTGCTTTTGGAGTTTAATCAACAGCTATTTAAACTCTTGTATAGAAAGCTGACATTCCTTTGAAATATCAAGACCCTAAGTGCTTCTAGAAAACACCTTAACAAATTGCCTGGCACACAAAATATAAAATAAATTTATATCTTTTCTTTTCTTTCTTTTCCCAGGCTGGCCTCAGCCTCACTCTGTTGCTGATGGAGGAGAACCTCTGATCTTCCTGCATCCCCTCTCCAGGTGTTGGGTTTACAGCAAGCTCCACCACGCTGGCTAGCAATCAGTATCTTCACAGTGTGAGGGCAGTGGCCCCTGAGTTTACATCAATCGCTTTTCACCACGAATTTCCATCTCCCTGTTTAAGACCCACTAGGCAGCCACAGATTGTGGATTTGCCCCAAACGGCAGGAATGCTCGGGACTGCTCAACAGCAAACACTTAGGGTTCCTTCATGTGCAGACAAAAACAAAATATCATAGCATACCTAATAACCTAGCAGGTATCTTGCAAATGAACTGGACAGTTTTCTTATCATTTGTGTAGAACTGGTGATATCAAAGTCAGAAACAAATTATTAAAAATTACTAAACAATCTCAAAGATTTGGCCCAAGCACCAAGATGAAGTAAATGTTTTTGAATTATTTTACTATTTTACATGAGACAATGTTCAGGGAAGTGTGAATACATTCTGAGTATATTTATCCCCCATCTACTCTCCTCCCCTCCCCTTTCATGTCCTTCCCCTTCCCACTAGTCCCCTTTGTCTCCCCAGACAGTTCCTCTTCTACCTCCATCCCATCTGGACACAGACAATTTTATGAATCAATAAAAGATGAAGAAAATCTTGAAGGAGGTTGGGTAGAGTCCATCACAGAGAAAAGTGGCAGAGAGATTTTCCATAAGTCATGCCCATGTCATGACACTGCTAAATTAAAACAGACTCACAGTTTCAATTTCTTTGATATTTATTTTTTTAAGCAAACAACATATTTAGGGTGTCAAACAAAGTCTAAAGATGATTTCAAGCTCCCTCTCCCATTACTACCTAGTCTAGCTCTCATGCCCCACCCCCCTTTTCCAGCTTCTAACCGTGCAAATGCACAGCTGACTCTCAGAACTGAACATCCTCTCAGGGGGTTAGTGCAGGTTTAGATCTCAAGGTCAAGACAACCAATATTCTAGAAGCACCTAAATAAATTTAGGGAAATAGAATTCCAGCCCATTACAACATGAGCAAGTGTATTACGATATCACATTCCTGTAATGCTGCTCTTCCGAGAAGCTCAAAGGTCTGAGGAGACATTACCTCACTTCTCCCATATCTTATGAGACAGGCAATAGGAAGATCGACAATGCTTTTTACAGGTCAGAGGAGCCTGCGATGGGGCCAAGCTCGTTTCTAGACTCTACAGCCTGACACCATGAGAGCTGACCCCTGCCCCATCTAACCACTTCATAATGCCTTAATGACTCTGAGCCCACTCGAGTGGACATGGCACCACAGGAAAAGAGAAAGAGCTAAATACGCACACTAAGTACAGAGACGCTGCAGACACTGGGGACATTGACACAACTGCTTACCTATCTCTTATCTAGGCTTCATCACTCCCAACATAGCTCTGTGTCCAACCCTCAACTTACACAAAAGAAGGTGTGCAGGGCATAGCAATAGCTCCGTGTTGATGCATTTCCAGAGACAACCGCAATTATTACTTTAGAAAAGAAAGGAGCTATATAATGAGGCTTGGGACTCCAAAGGATACTAGCCCAGTTCTCACAAGACAGGACCCTTCTACAATAATCATGGTCTATGTCTTCTTTATTGAAAGAGACAAATGACACATTCTCTTTGAGGTCAGAGCTGTGGCAGACTCTGGTGAAAACCCCTGAGAACTCCCGTGGTGCTGCATGCCTCTTTCTGCATACTCTCTCATTTCTCCCCTGGCTACTCCTCTCCCCTGGCTACTCCTCTCTCCTGGCTACTCCTCTCTCCTGGCTACTCCTCTCCCCTGGCTACTCTTCTCCCTGCGTATCACATTATTTCATTGTCATGGTCTCTTCTGATGCCATTCATCATTACGATGGCTACCTCAGTGGTCAGCTTGACAGGATCTAAATTCAGGTAGGAGTCAAGCCCCTGGGCATGTCCAATTGCGCGCTTCTATTATTAATAGATTGTTTTGATTGAGGGCTGTACCATTGCATGGCCTGAAGGTCCTGGACTAAACAAGGACTGAGTGAGCTGAGCTCCAGCCCTCGTCTCTCTGTTCTTTCCGACTTGGGATGACCAGTCGAACCTCGAGCTTCTGCCCCCACAGTTTCTCCACTGTGAAGGGCTTAGTCTGGCACTGGGAATAAAACACACCCTTCCTTGGCTTGCTTTTGGCAATTATGCTTTCATGGGCAACCAGGGTAACTAACACATCACCCATCTGCTAACCCAGCTAGTGCCACAGTGCCTAAGCTCCAGCACTTTCTTCCCGCGCCATGCTCCAGTGTAAGAGAAGAGCTTTGCAGAAACGATGGCCCCTTGAGCTGAGTGTGTTGGAGCTGATGAACTCAATAATGAGATAATGGGAAGTGTGAGCACTGCTCGAAGATTAAGAGTGTGCTTAGGTGAGGTTCTTGGAAACTCTGATGTTTGAGGAAAGATGTGAACCCAGGGAGCGGAGCCTAAAGATACCACAGGCCATGGGAAGGATATATGCAAAGATCCTGAGGTTAGAAAGGGTCCAACATACTCAGCAACTGACAAGTACATGGATTGCCTAAACATGATTTTATTAAGTCAGCAATGAACCGCTCTGGCACGTAAATGCCCCCCCCCCATGGTACACAAGTACAACAAGTGTAAGAAATCTCGAGACAAAGACTTACTGTTAATACCCAAGCCTCATACAGACAGAACAGCCATAATTAGATGAATTGGGTACTGCCAGCTCTACCATTGAAATGCGCTTCCGAGTGCACTGTCAGTGATTTCCCATAGTTAATGCAGGAAAACACCGAACTCACCAGTATTTCAGACCACAGTTTGAATATGCTTTCAATTTCAAAATACAAATTATATATATATATATATCGATAAAATGAGACTTTTATCGAAGTTAACTTCCTAGCTCTTCTTAAAAGCCAACAAAATACTCGCACATTCAGACAAAGCACTCATACACACAAAATTTTAAAATACTATATGCTAAATAGGATCTTTGGCTCACTAGCTGCCTGCTCTGGATTCAAATGATAGAAAATACTAAAGCTTGGCATAGTGGCACACATGTGTAATGCTAGAAAATCGGGAGGCTGAGACAGGAGAATCACAACTTTGAAGCTATGCTAAATCTCACTGTGAGATTCTATGATGGTTAATCATTGTCAACTAGACTAGATTAAGAATTGCCATGGAAACACTTCTGGGTGTGTCTATTAGGGTAGTCTGAGAAAAGTGTTACTCACTGTGAATGTGGCCAATACCAATCCCTGGGTTAGGGTCCTGAGCTGAACGAAAAGAGGAGACCTGAGCATGCATGTGACCAGCTGCTGCAGGCTCCTGCTGCTATGCCCTCTCTGCCGTGCTGGGCGGGACCCTCGAGCTGTCAATCAGAAAGCTTCCTCTATACTTGCTCTTGTCACAGCAATGAAAAAGGAACTAATTATCTCAAAAAATATTTAAGAATAAATTTCCAAAAACGAAATTAAAAAGTAATAAGAGACTAAGAGATTATAATTAGTTTCTTCTTAAAGTGCACGTCAGGTTGTGGGACAAAGCAAAAGCATTTGACAGAACAAGCAAGCACAGGACACAAGCATATGACATTCAGTGTTCCCATAAATGTCATAATTTAATTGGTGACCTAATTAGGAAAGAACCAAGGGCTTTCAGTGGTTAGGACTGAAAAGGAACATGAGGTAATATAAGCCCGATAGGACCAAAATAGCCAATTCAGATAAATTTATGTTACCGGTAGCCTCTGCCCTCATCACTACTAATTCCAAACTCTTGAGGCTAAGGAAACTGGGCTAAAATGATGTTCTGAATCCTTACAGGAGCCAACGAGGGAAGGACCAGGCTGGGAACACATTTTCACACATTCAGCAGCAGAACTAGTAACAGCTGGATGCGCCCAGTGGACTACAGAGCGGGAGGTGTTTTTACAACGAACAGTGAAAGGAAGATATGAGTCGCTGACATTGATTGGCTACAGATAAGAGGGGTGGGACGATGTAAAGCACAAAGCATTTACGAACAGTATAGTTTATAAGAAAAGTTGTGGCTATAGTCCAAATACTTAAGGCTAAACTCA